TCAAGTCACTGGTCAAGAGAAAGTCTTTGAATGTTTTTCAAGTCAGTTCTAAAATCATAAAATTAAGGACTTAAGTCTGACTTCAGTCCAAGTGATGCTGATACACCTCTGCTTCTTTCTCTGTAATATTTTATTCTGTTGAATAAAGAGTTATTAATACTCAGGCAGTCTAATTAAAATAGATGTTTAACTTTTTTTTCTTAATTATTTGAATTTAAAAGAAAAATTGCCTATTACATTTTCTCTTACCTTAGCCCTAAAACCTAGCCTAGTGAACTAGACCAAATTCTTGCTTTGCAAAGTTTGGTCTAGGCGTGCTCCATTGGAACCTCAGCAGCTCCTACCAGGACTCTGGCTAGCCAATCACAGCTCTCTAGAGGGGTTTCAAACACATAAAGAGCTGTGATTGGTCCATAATGGTGGGCCAATCATAGTGCTCTATGAGCTTAGTGAACAAATCACAGAGCTTTATCCGCTTTGTGGGCCAATCAGGGCACTCTATATGCCTGGTGGGTGGGATGATGCAACAGAGTGAAACAAGAGTATGTCACATTCATTGTCCAGTGGAATGCAGAGATCATTTGAAAGACAACGGTAGAACCCGCCCCACAACCGAGAGCCGTCAATGGAGCATGGCCAGACTAAATAATACATTTATTTAGTCTGGCTTGCCAGGCTACCTAAAACCCTTACTAATATCCGGATTGAGTGGAGTCAGCTGAGGTGGCTCGGGACATCTGGTTAGGATGCCTCCTGGACGCCTCCCTTGTGAGGTTTTCTGGGCACATCCAACCAGGAGAAGACCTAAAGGGAGATACTCAATGATGGAGGGACTGTGTTTCTCAGCTAGCCAGGGAACGCCTTAGGATTCCCCCAGAGGAACCGGCCCAAATGGCTGGGGAGAGGGAAGTCTGGGCCTCTCTGCTTAGGCTGTTGCCCCGTGACCCAGTCCACCAAGTGGAAGAGAATCAATGGATGGAATATCCTCTTCGGAAGAATGCTTTTTATGTTGGGCTTAAGCCCAACCAGCCATTCCTCCCCATCCCCGCATATTTCTCTCCTCCTGCTCCCTCACATCATCACACAAACATACACATAGGACCTTGGGGGGTGGACAAGTCAGGGAGTGCGGGTATGGACCCCATTTCTGCATTCCTGTGGCAACCTGCCCCCCAATTTTATTTGCACCTTATACATTTCCACTGACGACATTCCACACAAACACACACTTAGGGCCTTGGGAGTGAGCACATTCAACGGCATTTGGCAGGGGGATATCTCAGCCTCCTCCCGGGTGCCAGTGCCCACTTCCAATTTTAAACTGCACTTAGACACCAAGGGCTGAGGGTGCAAGTGGGGTGGTGCGGTGGCATCAGCTGGAATAGGCCGGATGATGCCCGCACTGCCCGCTCACCACAGCCATGGAATACACCTCATGATCACTCAACACTATATTGGAGCAGGCGGAGGGAGACTAGGGGTCTTAGCACACCTCTGTTGTTGCTTGGCTTCCTGGGGCTGGAGGCTAGGAGGGAGATCTGACCGTCTGGTTGGGGTCTGGGGTGGTAGGTTGCTGTGCTTAGCGTTGGGCGGGGGAGCCTGCTCATCAGCACCCCAGCAGAAAGGGTCAAACTCTGGTTACCGGTGATGGTTGTACCCAATGTGCAGCAGTACCGGGACCAGAGTGAATAGGGTGTGTATGGGGAGCATGAGTGGGTGTCCGGCGTGCATTTTTGTAAGTCTTGGGTTGTATGTAAATGTGTGAGCATGAGGGAGGGAGTGTGTGACTGTGTTTGTGTATGACTGTAAATGTCAGGTGGGGCCCTTGACTCCTCCCCTCTCCTGGAACTTCTTTTGATGATATAGATCTTCGTCCCCCCTCCCCCTGCCACACCTGGTGTGGGGGGTTGTGCCTTTGTCTGCCTAAGTGTTCGTGGCAACCGGGTCTGGGGGTTTAAGATCTTTGGCAACTGCCTGGTCAATCTCGGTGGCTGCCTGGTGGGGTCTGGGTCCCTGGGCTCTGCTGGGTCCCCGTTGGGGGTGGTCGCCCCTGGGTCCCGGGTCGCCGGGTCCCAGGCTCGGCCGGCTAGGGGGTGGGAGGCTGCGGGCGGGCCTGTGGGCTTGCCGCTGATGTCTCCCGGGACTCTGTCGGATGTTGGTTGTGGCCCCCGGGGCGATCCTCTGTGCCTCTCGAGGGGGGCGGGGGCCTTTCTGGTTGCAGTCTCCTTGGGGTTCCTGTGTTCTGGGGCAGCGCCTGGATCTCTGGGACTTGGAGCTCCCCCCGTCTCCTACGCATCTTTGGGGGGCGGATCTGTGGTCCCTCGCACTCTCTGTTGGACGCTCTTATAGAGAAACCTTACGTAAACAAGCGCGTGTACACACACAGGTGCTCACATGGTGCTCTCAAAAGTATGGGCTTGGGCACGTTAAACACAGGTTTTAAGACTATGGTGGGCACTTAATGTTCTGTGATTTATTATCGTGATTCTTCAATTAAACAATGTTGATTATATATTCCTTCATCAAGTTGACGCAGGGATAGCTTGATCTTGTTGTATTGTTGTTGTGTCCCATTTTTTTTTTCTTTTGCTTTCCTTTTGTCTTCTGCAGGTCTAGAAGCAGACTCTTGTTCATTATTGTTTATTCTTGTGGAACCCCCCCCCCCCCCCCCCCCCCTCTCTCCCCACCTTTTGTCTTTTCCTTTCTCTTTCACCTCTGTCTCCGTGTCTGGTCGGACTTACAAAGCATTCAAAAACAATAACAGTAAAGTTTTAAGTATCAGTCGTGACATTAAAAGCAGATGCTTTGATGCTCCACCTGAGAGTAAATCTGTAAGGCTTGTTACCAGCATTCAGACATAAATTCTGTTTGCTTCACAGCCAGACAGGGCACGGTAAAAAAAAAATGTTTTTGGTTACCTTTTCTGCAAAAACTCACCATTATCATCATTCATTATTCTTTATCAATATAAAAATCCTAACATTTTCTTCTTAGAAAAAAATATTGTAGTTCACAATGTCTTCCTGTTGTAGCATACAGTTGATACCTAGAGAGGCACTGCAGAGGTTTTTGGTGGCGATTGCGGCTCTTTCTGTAGCTCTTAATGACACTAACACTTTTCAGGTGGTAGACTGGCCCATTAAACCACTCCAGCTCTCTACATTTACCGTCTCTCAACTGTGAATTTCTACTCCTCCCATTGACGTTCATTTGGATTAAGAATGCAACACAGAGCAGGTCACTTCAGAACACTATAATGTTTTCTTCTTATCCATTCCTTGATGCTTTCACATTTATATTTTGGGTCATTATCCTGTAGGAGGAGGCCTCTGATGGAAGCACATAGCACCCAATGAAGAAAATAAGCCCAACTCACAGCTAAACCTCCACATTTCACAGGTGCATTTTGCACTGAGAGTTCAAAAATGTTCACATTTTTACATCAAATTAAACAGGCTCCAATTTATTTAATCAAAAACATGTTTCTAAACGCACGGTGTGTCAAACTTTTATTTTCTATTTAGTTCAATGAGTTTTATCCAACTAGTCAAGACAGCATTTTTTTTAAATCTACTTTCTTTTTACAATAAAGGCTAATATTTCAAGATTATTCACTAGTTCTCCTTAATTGCATTCTTTTAAAGGGATACTTTGCAACTTTTTCATATTTTAAACAATTTTCTTGAGCCTGTATGTGCTAAAATTACCCTTTTACAGGGTTAATGAAAGGCCACTCAGACCCCTACCACCCTGTGTGACCAGAATACCGCACTTGCAACTTCAAAGTGCCGGTCCGGTCACTGTTGGACTTTGTAAAGTGGAGATGAAATACCTGGCTCTGCAGTCTGCTTCCAGCAGGTTTCCTGCATGTTTTAGGTCATGAACACAGATGATTTGTTTAATTTAGTGATGAATCACTCCTGTAGACACTGAGGAAGGCTGGGGAGACATTTCAGCTGTTAGATTAAAGGTATACCGGAGGATGTTTCTGAATTTCAGGAAAGAACCGCCCCCTCCTCGTTTTGGAAAAAAAAAATGCACACGAGAAAGAACGCCCAGTTATCAGTAGCAGCAGGCTTCTTCTTCTAGCAGTAATCTGAAATGAATTTCTCCAAATAGCATGACAAACTTCAGCTCACCTGTTGAGCAGAAAACCGGTAACAGGCGTCTGTGGGGAGCCCAACCTTCGCTTTGCGCAGGAAGTGAAAACTGCCCAGCAACGTATGACGACGATGGCCTTGCTTGAATGGTTCACCAGAATGATTTACAGTTAAGCAGACCAGTGGTTCAGATGATCCACCCGGAAGAAAGCGATCCTTTGCTAAGCCTTTAAGGTGTTAAAAAGACGAACGCGCAGCGAGGATATGTTTCCCTTTTGGTTTGACTCAAGGGACACTAGGGGGTACTAAAAGCAGACCAAACTGTTTTTTATCCCTTTAAACACATACGTGAACTTCATAAATTCAGTCCATATGTAAATATGGCATGCATGTGTGTGTAAATATATATTTTACTGCTTATATTTCATCCATCATTTTATTATGATGTTCATTTAAAGACAAAAGAATGTGGTTATTGTAACCACTATTCAGTAGGTGTCATTTGGACTTTCATTGAAAAGAAATCATGGTAACATTTTTACATATGTTTTGTATTTCTGCTGAGAAAGTTTACCTCTGATGTACAAAACTCACTGTGTAACTTTTAATAGCCTTGCTGGTTATTTATTTGATTTCTTTTCTGACTGCAGTCAGTCAAACACCTGTGCATATACTGTATTTCTATCAACATCTGCTGACAGGTTGATCCTCTTAGCACCTCAGAAATCTGGGACGCTATTCCTCTCATCTCTTACTTTTGCCAATTTGCTGGTGGGAGACCCAGAGTCCTTGTCTTCATTAAAGGAGTTCCTCATTGATCAATCACTGTCAGAGGAGTTTCTCTGTAATTGCACTGTGGCCTAATCATGACTGACGTCTCATCCTCTCGCTCTGTCGCAGGTCTCAGGAGAGAGAATGCTTTGTGACTTTCACACCTTTTACCTCAAGGTAGGAAGGTCTCTTTACTCTGTTTCGGTTATCGTCACAATGTATAATATGACTCAGTAATTCGTTAGTTGAATGTAGTAAATAAGTCTGATACTCTTTTAAATGATGAACTTACTCACAAAACTACTATTTTAAAGATAACGGGGGGGGGGGGGGGGGGGGGGGGACTTAGGAGTCTTTTATTTCCAGAGAGACCTTAAAGAGCAAGTCACCCACCTACCAGAGTCTTACTCTACCCATAATCCACCCTCCGCTCTCTGAGTTGGTGAATCTTAAACCTGGTTTATGCTTCTCCATCAGCTCCGTAAGGGACAGACACGCACGGATTGACGGAAGCGTTTTGCTCTCATACTTCTCCGTCTCCTGGAGAGTGTTGCAAAGCAATTGCCCGGCAGGACAACAGAGGGCGTAGCGCTGTTCTGTGGTATCCTGTCATGTATCGGTCCAAGATAGTGTGTTTATGTTGTGTTTTTTGTGTATATAAGAGACTTTTAACATGGACATATTTGTCTCTCATTCTCCCACCGTTTCATGCGCTCCCCACCTCTAAACCCACGTTTCCTGTCATTTCCGTCCACAAATAAAATGCTTGCTGCGCATCTTTTCACTCCTCCAGTCACGGGAGGATGAAACGTTCATATTTTTAGAGTTATTTTGCGAGGTATTCTTCAAGCTTCTCCGTGTCTGCCGCTAGTTAAACTCGGCTCTCTTTTGCAATGGTGGCGCTGTAAACAACAGCGGCGTCCTGACCAATCACAAGCTTGCGTAATCCGTCTCGTTCGACGGATGTTTAAAAAAGTGGGCTCGACTCCGTACGTACTTGCGTGCCTGCCGGATCCCTACGCAAGGACGGATAATGGCGTTGCGTGTCTCCGCACTGACGCAGACGGAGAAGCAAAAATCAGGCTTTAGTCTATAGAAATGATTGATTCAAATTCAAATGTAGTGCAGAGTTTCAACCTGAAGAGGGTGCCAGATTGATGGTTTTAGGCAGCATTTTCAATACTACACAACGTTTTCATATGTTTAAATAATTTTCTTGAGCCACTATGAGCTAAAATGACCCTTTACAGGGTTAATGAAAAGTCACTCAGACCCCACCGCTTTCTGTGGCCAAGAGGTTGCACTTGCAACTTCAGACAGGCGGGTTGCCTCCTGTTGGACTTAAAAAAAAAGAGCTTACATACTTTAATACCCTGCAGTCTGCTTCCAGCACGTTCCCAGTATGTTTTAGATCGTGAACATACCTGATTTGTTTAATTTAGTGATGAATCATTCCTGTGGAAACTAAGGAAGGCTGGGAGACATTTCAGCTGTTAGATTAAGGTGTTAAAAAGACAAAGCACAACGAGGAGACAAGTTTTATTTTCTCTAACCCTTTGAACACAGAAGTAATAATGGACTCAAGGGGGTGCTAAAAGCAAACAAAGCTCTTAGTATCATTTTAAATGTTAAATAGGAATCACTAAAATTCCAAAAATAATGGCTACATATGTCTCCAGAACTACTGCACACTTCTTCATACAGTTTATCAGAAAACTAATTTTCAATTTAGAGGTGACTGGCTCTTTAACCAAGCCTCTACTTCGAACTGTCCAGGGAAAAAAGCACACCCAATTGAAATTAAAATTTCTCAGGCTAAATTTGCAGGGATTTTTAGGGGTTAAGCATGATGAAGAACAGCAGTCAGCAGCCGTTTAACCTACAAAGATTTTTTTCCCCCTCCCATAAAATAAAATGCTTAAGAAGGAAATTGTGTTAAATTAAAAAGATCAAGAGTGATTTTCCAGGTTGAAATTGACAACTCTGCCAGAATATTAAACCCACCAGGATGCATAAATTCAGAGAGCCTGCTGTGATTTTGCAAAATGATTTGCCGGTTTACCGTTTCTGCTGCTGGAATGGGTTTAACACGAGTTTGATGGCACAGATTAGTCTCAGCCCTCTGGTGATTTCACTGGTGCTCATGGAGTGATCTCTCTGAACACCCGCTCAGCCTGCATTCAGTAAACACAGGAAGATTTAGCACCTCAGACAACTTAACATTTTCAGAAATGTGTTCTAGTGCCGACGTTTAAATCTCATGTATACAGATGATGTGATCTGTCGTACTAAATAGAGGGAATGGGTACAACCAGAAACATCTCTCAGTATGCAAATATTCCATGAAACGACATGTTTTATGCAAATATCTTCATTGTATATCTGCAAATGTCATATAAATGACATTTGCAGGCACAGGCAAGTAAAACGCTTTGACTAGGGAGAAGAAATCGCAACACAAATCTTTTGGAAAAGCTGAACTCTGCAAAAAAAACTTTTAATAAAAATTATTTTTATGCTACTATAGAACACATCACTTTTTAATTTTGCATTTGGTTGAAATAATATAGTATAAATTTTAGAGAAGTGATATTAATGTGTTAATTACAATTAAAATTCAGAAAAAATATGTTAAATAAATTACTGTGCCCAGCAATTAGGAGCTGAGAAGGTTTAGCATCACAATTTGTGACAGAAATAAAATCAAGCTGCACCTCTAACAAAACTGCAGAGCCCAGCCTACAAGACCAGATAAACATTTTTACCTGCTCCAAGCACAATTCAAACTCCAATTAAATGACTCATTAAAAATCACTCTTCATGAAAGAAAAGAAAGAAAGAAAGAAAGAAAGAAAGAAAGAAAGAAAGAAAGAAAGAAAGAAATACTATTTTCCCCGTTATGTTATTCTTTGTCCATATGAACTTTATCACAGCTACTGTGCTTTATGAATGCGCCATGCTAGCATGTAGATGCCTCACTTGGTAGTAATATTGCTGTAATAGTGTGTTGTACAAACGGCTTTCGCACCTTGACACAACAGAGGGAGGTGTCCTGATCACGTGGGGAGTTACTGCCATGCTCCGGCTGGCACCTATATTGAAAATGAAGGTAAACACGGGTCATAAGTTTCACTTTTGTAAACAGGTCTACACTAGATGGGCCTTAAAGCAACAAGGAGTACGTTTACATGCAGCCAATATCCGGGTTATGATCGGGTTAAGGTCGGGATTCGGGTTTCTGAGTTGATCAGAATAACCCGTTTACAAGCATAAATAGAAAGAGTTACGTCTAACTTGCATAACCCGATTTAACTGCGGACGTTGGGGTAGTGTCAGGACATATCTACGTCCAGACGCAATATGCGTCATTTCCGGTTCTTCTTGTTCCGGTATCTGTGAAAACAACAACATGTTTCCCAGTTCGGAAGAGATAGTGACCGCGTTTGTTTGTGCTTTAGTTTCCTCGTCACTCAAAGTGTGGTGCTGTGCCGCGACTCGCCATTTTGCCCCCAACTTGTTGTTCACTTCCAGTGTTCTGGCGCATACAAGACATCTCGCTACTCAAAAGACCAAGATTCCTTGCGAACAGAGCATGCGCAGAACACACGCTTTGATGGGGATATCCCGATATGCGTTTACACGACCAAACATTCGGGTTAGAAAAGGGTTACCCCAGGTGTAGTAACCGGGTTTTTAAATACCCGGTTATGAGCATATCCGGGTTTCTGGCGGTGTTTACAAGGACCTGCGGAACCAGGTTATTGTGAATATTCGGGTTTTAAAAGGGTTACTGGCTGCATGTAAACACACTGATTCTGAAGTTTTCCCCCTCTCAGGAACTATGTTTGATGTTTTAAGCCTGGAATATATTTGCTGCTTAACAATGCGTGTTCTGTACAAAAAAGTAAAGAAATAAAAGTGGGACTTTTATCTGACTAAAAATTAAAATATACCTCAGGTAATTGATAATTGGGTATTGTTACAATATATTTTTATGCCTCCAAATGGTGCACACTGGGGAAAAACTTCAGATGTCTGCTTTAGTAGAAAACTAAAAACAAAAGGTGTCAGGTTTTATGTTTTAGGAGAGCTGAAACTAGATAGATACGTCTAGTCGTCAGCCCCACCCACCAAGAACAAATAAAATGGCAATTTTCAAAGTGAATTTTGAAAAATGACAAGCAGATGGTACTGCTGAAGGTGGTCAAGCAATGAGGTCAGGTTAGAAAGTGAAGAAAATACAACATGCCTATATTTATTAGTATACTTCCTTGAAGGTCCGTTTTAACATAAAACCATTGACACTTCCAAACTTTACTGTCATTGTGAGCGAAGCTCCTCCGTTCATGTTCTTGTTGTGGTAAGGAGAAAAAAAAAGTTTTAAATTTAAAATGTAATCAGCACAATCACCACAAGCAATCAGTTCCTCTTCATTTCACACGATCGAGCCCCCCGCTAAAGACGAGCTTGTTAAATGGAGCATCTTATCAGGCCTGGATTAAGTTTTGACTTTGATTAACACATGTAGTCTGAGTTTTAGAATGTCAGAGTTCAAGTTTGGAAAAAACATTCTTTTTGAAATGCAAATGCACTTACTGCCATTGTAAAATTAGGTTCCTTTTTTAAGGATAAAAGCCGAAAATACCACATTCAGTTTTTAGACATGTGCATAAATTTGAACTTTAACCGTTATGATATCTGTGTTTGGTTGTGACTTCTTTTCAACAAATTTTCACCTTAGCCTTGACTTCTGCTCTCAGTGTTGTCAGTACACCTTGGCACCATTTAGTGAATTCTTATTCCTCCTTAGTCTTCTGTGGCCTTTGAATTTCTGGTTTTCCTGGCCCTGCAGCGTTGACCCTTTGGTCAGTAATAAAATATTATTATCATTAGGTTTAAAGCCTTTTATTTCCTGTTGTCCATTTATTCATTAGGAAAGTAATGTGTTAATAATCTGAAACTGAAAATGCAATAATAATAATTAGTGAAAGACAATGCAGCCATCTGTAACAGACTGAATTTCTTCTCACAGAAGTTAAAATATCTCTCAATTACATCTTCAGACACATCTGTAGCACTAAAATGTTTCACAGCAGAAGCACCTTGCGTCTTCTGTTTCAAATAAATCTTCTAGTTAATTGGATCAGAAATTTGAAAAATGACATTAAATTTTTGAA